CTTGGCTTATACTTTCTTTCCTTCAGCTTGTTGAAAATGTTGCTTTACTCGTTTCACTTTGTGTGTTGCTATTAAGAAATCTGATGACAACTTGATTTTCTTTCCTTGCAACTGACTTAATTTTTAACCTGGAGGCCCAGAGAATGTTTTCTTTTTCTTTAAAATAGAGTTTTACTGGGATATGTCTCAGAGTTGGCTATTCCAGGATAATTTCCCCTGGAACATGGTGGGACTTTCAATATATAGGTTAAAGATTTTTAGTTCTAGAAGTTTTTCTTAGAGTGCTATAAATATCAATTCTGTTCCATTTATTTATATTTCCTTCTTCAGGGACTCCTATTGCACATAAATTACTTTATCTTTGTTTGTCTTCCATGCTTATCCTTTTATTTTTATTTTTTTAAATCTAATTTTTATTTTATATTGGAGTATAGTTGATTTCCAACATTGTGTTAGTTTCAAGTGTACAGCAAAGTGATTCAGTTATCCATATCCATATATATATCCATTCCTTTTCAGATTCTTTTCCCATATAGGTTATTACAGAATATTGAATAGAGTTCCCTGTGCTATACAGTAGGTCCTTGTTGATTATCTATTTTATATATAGTGGTGTGTATATGTTAATCCCAAACTCCTAATTTATCCCTCATCCTCTTTACTTCTTTATTTGATTTTTATTTTCTTAAGTGCTTTAATTTTCTTTCTGTATGTCTTTATTATACTTTCTTTCTGTGTCTATTGTCTCTAGGACGCTTTGCAGGTTGGTCTTAATTTCTAAGCTATTGCTTTTTTTGGTAAGCTCTCATTTTACTTCTTCCTGTTATATGTCCATTTGTAGTTTGAGTTTTTTAACTTATTTGTGTTGCACTGTAATATTGCAATTGCCTGTTTAATTATGGTTAATTAATGTTGGAATGCTTTTAAAAATGATTCTTGTCCTTTATTTCTTAAGGGAGTATTTTCATTAGCTAAAACGTTTTACTACTTATTTTCTGTTTTGTTCTTATAGAAACATTGTAGGTATGTTGAGTGCCCCTTTTCTGTCCGTGATAAGATAAATGTAGAGGATTTTCCTAGACCAGGAATAACAGGTGATCCTATTGGGATGAGGGATGGAGTAATTTGGGTTCTTCTTTGATTTCTTAGTTCAAAGGCATGCTCTTCTTTTGGTGTTGGGTGATCTTACAGGCACTGTCTCACAGGCACTGTCCCTCTGTGTCCTTAGGCTTATGAAAGCCTGTCCTAGCATAATGTTTGGGAGTGTTCCTCACTCTAAGGGGTGTCTAGAAATTGTATGCAATTTATTATAAAGTGTTTCTATGCTGGGTGAATTTATATTTGGAACTTAGATTTAATACTTGCTACTTTGCCCTCCCAGCTCCTAATCCACCAGTTGCCTGTGTTTTACAACAGTCCAATTCCTGACCTTGAATCCCAGCCAAGGTACTGACATCCCTGATGGGAGGGCTGGGTCTACACAGATGGTTCTCTGTGGCCAGGAGATAAATACAAGGCATTATGTCCCAGATGAAATGCGATTTTTAAAACTGGGAACGTTCATATAAATCAGGTTACTGAGGTGACTGGGGGACAATGGGATCCAGGATGCAGTGCAAAAGTGAAGGATAGTGGGAGTTGGGAACCCGAAGGTAGCCTGGATGAAATTTCCATGAAAATGATGACTTCTAATATATATATGCATTTAGAGAAGGAGACTCCTAGTCCCTGCCAGTCTTTCCTTCCCTTCCTCACCTCTCCTTTAGCAGCCTTTGCTCCTGGATGACCCTCCTGATTTGGCCTTTTTCTGCTATAGATTCCTTCTGCTTAAGCCACCTGCCCTTTAGACTGCAGTCCTTAGACCCTGACCGCCTCAGTTCAGGCCAGACCCCATCCTGAAGGGGAGCAGCTTCTTTGTCCCCAGGATTCTGTCCTGAGCCGACCTGGGCATCACTATAGTTAAAAAATTATTTATTATTATTTATGCCATTGTGTGTATATGTACACACACATACATTATATATACATGTATATATACACATACACATTTTCTTTATCTGTTCATCCATTGACAGACACAAGTTATTTCCATACCTTGGTTATTGTGAATAATGCTGCAATGAACATGGGAGAACAGATATCTCTTTGAGATAGTGATTTCATTTTCTTTGGATATACAGAAGTGGAATTGCTGGATCATATGGTGGTTCTATTTTCAATTTTTTGAGGAACCTCCACACCGTTTTCCATAGTGGCTGCATCATTTTACATTCCCAGCAACAGTGCACAAGGATTCCAATTTCCCTACATCCTTACCAACACCTGTTATTTTCTGTTTTTTGTTTTGTTTTTTTCATGTTTTTTATAGTAGTTATCCTAATGGATGTTAGGTGGCGCTCACTGAGGTTTTGATTTGCATTTCCCTAATGATTAGTGATGTTGAGCATCTTCTCAGGTACTTGTTGGCCATTTTATATCTTCTTTGGAGAAATGTCTGTTCAAGTCACTTGCCCATTTTTAAATCAGGTTATTTGTTTGTTTGTTTTCATTGTTGAGTAGTAGGAACTCTTTATATATTCTGGATATTAATCCCTTATCAGATATATGATTTACAAATATTTTCTCCTGCTCCATAGGTTGCCTTTTCACTGTGTTGTGTCCTTTAATGTACAGAAGTTTTAAATTTTTATGAAGCCCAATTCATCTATTTTATGAAATCATTGCCAAGTCTAAAGTTACAAAGCTTTCCCATGTTTTCTTGTAAACATTTTATAGTTTTAGGTCTTTTGTTTAGGAATTTGATCCATTTTGAGTTAATTTTTGCATATGGTACCTCCACTATCACTTTTGCTGGGAGTTCCCAACATGTACTGGAGGCAACACAAAGCCATTTAAGAAAGGGATTTCCACATTTCCACTTGACTTTTAGTCCCAAATATCTTTCCTCCCCTTCCCCAACAAACACTTGCCCCTAGCCATGAAAAAGGCCATAAAAAAGGTAAGAAAACCAATGCAAAATTTATATTTTATTTGAATTCAAAAATTTTAAAATTGCTTTCAAATTCAGGAAAGTACCATAATGCAGGACCCCAGGGGGAAGCCTCATATACAGAGACAGATAAATTAAATGTATATACTGCAGACAAGCCAAGGAGGTGTGTAGATTACATATTTACAGCACTTGATGTTTTCTGAAAACCATATTTATACATTTTATTACATTTACAAAAAGGCTTTCACTACCATTTACCTACAATAATGAAAAAAATTTACACCGTGTTTTTCTTTCTTTTTTGGTACTGTACAAACTTTGTATAATAAAAATATATCTCTGTACAAAAGATTTTTTTGTTGTTTTTGTTTTACTGTTTTTTTTTTTGCTTTTTTTTTTTTTCGCCTCATGGGATGGCAGCGGGTATGTGGTGTGAATGGTGGGTGAAGGGCCTAGTTTGCCCTGGTCGCTTCCAAGCCTCTAGAGGTGGAGAGAAAATGCCAGAGGTGGGAAAGGGTAATGCACAGCAGAGTGCTGGGGGCCGCACCAGCGTGTGCTCCTTGGGCATCTCCTGGGCCTTCACAAGGGGAGGGGTGGAGGCAGGGCTGGAGGAGGAGTCCACTGGTTGGTCTCAGAGGAGTGTAAGAAGTGGGGAAGGGAGCAGCCAATGAGCTTCCTGCATTTGCTTCCAGAGAAAGAGGCAGATGAGCATGTGAATGCGTTTGTCTGGACTGGTCCTCTCCTGCCAAGCCCAGGGATGCTGTGACCCAGAGAAGGTGTGAGCAGCTGGGCTCCTGCCATTGCCAGTTGCATCTGCTGGAAATTGACACTCTCACTTCAGTCCATCTTCACATGAGTCATCTCATGATTTCAACTCAGAATCTGCTTACAAACGAGGTGTCCCTGCCACTCCACTCCTGTATGTATCTCTCATTCCAATATGTGATCTGAACATCTGAGGCCAGCATGTCACACATGCACAGGGGCTTAAGCCCACGGGGACCTTCCCGAGGACAGAGAAAGGGGCTCTAAATGTCACAGTTTGATTCCCAAACTCATTAGCTTCTCAGCAATACTTAAATGGAATTCATCAATGACCCAAGCATGATGAAACTCTAAATTAATCAAACCTACTTGCAAGAAGCTGGAGAGAACATGCTTTATTCACTCCATTCTTTTGATTCAGAAGTTCCTAGGCCTCTGTCTGCTATGGCGAGGGGCTGCTGGGAGCCAAGGGACCAGCACCAGCTCCAGGAAGCCTGGGATAACGGGTCCTTGTCCTGATGCTGCCAGGGTGGAGAGAACAGGACCCAGATAGGATACATGGGTCCCCTGCCTGGCCCACCAGCCTTTGCCACAGTCCTACTTAGAGATTCACCTACTCCTCCCCCTTCTAGACCCAGATTGCATCTGGTGTAGTGGACTTTGGAGTCAGACCCACACTTACTAACTGTGTGGCTTCCATCTCTTCACCTTTCTGCCTTCTCATCCATCTGGAATACTATTTCCTACGTTCTGGGGTTGCTGTAAGGTTTAGAAATGAACCACCTAAAGTGTCAGGCACAGAGGAGAAACTCAGTCCACGGTAGCCATTATTTTTGGACCCTGGGGTTGTCTTGCTGTCCTGTCCCTTCCAGCACCTCTCCGATGCCTGCAGACTTGGTGTCGCTGGGCCGCACACCTGTTTCTCTTCTTTTTGTCAGTTAACAGCAAGACTTGACCTTGGGCTCATGGCCAGCTTCCTGCCCTTACCTCCCCTGATGTGCCCTACTTCTTCAGTGTTGCTTTCAACCTAGGAGGACTTATTTTATTTTATTTTATTTTGCGGTATGCGGGCCTCTCACTGTTGTGGCCTCTCCCGTTGCAGAGCACAGGCTCCGGACACACAGGCTCAGCGGCCATGGCTCACGGGCCCAGCCGCTCCGTGGCATGTGGGATCTTCCCAGGCCGGGGCACGAACCCGTGTCCCCTGCATCGGCAGGCGGACTCTCAACCACTGCGCCACCAGGGAAGCCCTAGGAGGACTTTTAAAATTCACTGGGTTTAGAGCTCAGTAAAATTATGTTAGAAAAAATAGAAACTGATTTCCAAACGATTTCTTAAGACTGTTTTCGGCCCTTGGGGTTATCCTTGCTGTTGTTCTGCGGCTGGGACCGTCCACTTGCAGATGGCTGGTCTCTGCGTACCGACCGCCATGGGACGTATCTGCTAACACATCCACTGCGTCTTCTTTACCTCTTCTCTGTGTTTGTGGGGAGCAGGGCATGGGGCATCTTTCACACACATTTCACTTTTTTAAGCTTCTGCGGTCTCTTCTGTAGGACTCAACTGAAGGAGAGGTGTGTGTTTGTGTGTGTTCAGGCCCACACACACACGTGCACACCCACAAAATCCTTTGCTGTTTTCAATCCATAATGTCCTTCCTCTGACGGCAGCCAGCCCCTCTTCCTTTAGGGCCCCGAGTCGGGGCGGGGTGGGTGTCCTCTCCAGGGTGATGGGGGTGGATGGTGGCAGGGCAAGGGCCCAAGTCCCAGTAGTAGCAGACACGGGCGGAGAGACAGACGAAGATGGGCACTGGGCACTGTGCCAGGGGAGCTTACTTCCTGTCCCCTGGAGAACTGGGAACAAACGGATCACACCAGAGTTTGTAAAACAATAGGGGCAGTGGGTGAGGGGTGGGAGCAGAAGGCGGCGAGAGGAAAGAGGCAAAGCGAGGAAGGATTAAGGGGAAAGAATGAAAGGAAAGCAGTTGCCGTGATCTTTCCCTTTGCGTTTTAATCCTCCCGAACTAAGGGTGGAGGTGTAGGTAGGAAATATACACAGAAGAATATATATTTTCCTCGTGTCATTTTCTTCCCCCCGGGGAAGGCCAACTTACCTGTCAGCCACAGGAGCCCCAGCGTCTAGGGGCTGCTACACTTTTAGGGGCCCAGGAAAGTGTTTTTAGTTTCTTTCAAAATCAGAAGGAAAAAAGTGAATATAATAATAATGGCCATGTAATAATGAATCCAGCCTGGATTATATTCATCTTTATAACAACATAGTTGTAAAGTACCATTTTTAATTTTAAACAGAGGAAAGGGTCCATGAAAGTCATAACACAGCCCTGCCCCTTGCTCTCTACTTGCTGACCCCGCAGGCCTCAATGACTTCCCCGTGTGGGGTTTATTTACATTTCAGCCATTCTTGTGAGGCATCATTTGAATTTATCACCTTGTCACTCATTTTAAATGTATGTGCGTCTATTCAGGGTGGTTTTTCATGCATCGCCTTCCTAAGCCAAGCAACACCTTCTCTGCTCCAGCTCCGGGAGGGAGGGCTGGAAGCGAGCAGGGGCCTTCGCGGAGAGCTGTGTGCTGGGCGGGATGCTCCGAGGCCTTGGATGCTGGCGAGGGGCAGTGCGAGGGCCGCCTAGACCTGAAGCAACCAACCCCAGGTGACCCAGAGGTGAAACCTCGTGCACACAGGCACCTGGGACCCAGCGGAGCCCCAGGTGCGGAGTAGCAGTGAGGGTGTGTGTGCAGGTCTTGGGACATTCTTGTTTCTTTCCTTTACTGTTCAATAATTCTGCAACTCAAAGTTTAGAGTCACTACAGATCACCTGTCAGGCCTGATTTATGTCATCAGAGGGGATTCTTCTTTTTGCTTTCTATTTGTATGAGTAGGAAAAAGTAAAGATGGAGCAGAAAGGTGAAACCTCAGAACTAATTTGGACATGTTAAAATGAGCCCACTGGAAGAATTTCTCCTCCTTCTTTAAGTATTTGTTTTTGGTGCAGAAAAACTCAATAATTGCTTATTTGTATTCAACAGCTGCCTTTATATATTCTGAAGATAACTTTTATTTCTTTATGTATAAGTTATCTTAGTACCTACCATTTTAAGCTTAGAGTTATGCAAGGGAGATGATCTAGAGAAAAAAAGTGGACCCAAAGAGGGGAGGGGAGGGGAGGATGGGGGGACAGCCTGGCAGAGTGCTTAAAGCTGGGATGGATGTTTGAGGGCTGCAGCACTGACTGGGCATATGGTCTGAGACTCAGGCTGAAGTGGTGAAAATCCTCCTGGAGTTGTTGTGAGGATGAAAGGAAGCAACCCATGCCAGGGACCGGGCAGTCAGTGCTGGTTAGTGGTTTTACAATCCCTTTCTCTCTCCTGCCATTTACCGGTCTCGCATTTCCCGCCAGCCCACCCCTCACACAGCCTGCTCCCTCCAGGAGCTGCATGCGTATCGGCCGGCTGGGACTGCCCATTGCATGCGCTGCCACAGACAGGAGCATGGAAGGAGAGCTGTCCCTGCCTAGGGTCTGGCTGATGACTCCCTTGCCCTGTTGGAACCCCACCTCTCTGGGCACTGGGATGCTTCTCCCCAGAGTCGGGCTCACTAAGGTCCGGGAGACACCTGAGAGAGGGCACCTGCATTCCCCAGAAAGTGGGGTGTGCGGGAGACGATATGGTTCTCAGAAGGGTGTGGCTTGCACACCTTGTGGGGACAGCTCCTGCAGGTTCCCAGGCCCCAGAAGGAGGGCTATCAGTGAGGAAGGACACAGTGGGGAGTGGCCGTGCCTTCTAGACTTGTCAGCTCCTCCTGGCAGGCCTGTGTGTGTGTGAGAGAGAGGGTGTCCAGTGGACCCATGGGAGCCTCCGTGTGCGTCTGCCCCTCTGTGTAACGGGGGGCCCTCCTCTCTTGCCCAATGCCAGGGATTGCAACTGCCCATCTATTACGCTCTAGGTGATGGATAGTTTTATATGTCAACTGCCTAGGCTCTGGTGCCTAGTTGTTTGGTCAAACACCAGTCTAGATGTTGCAGTGAAGGAATTTTTTAGATGCGATTAACATTTAAATCAGTAGACTCTGAATAAAGCAGATTACCCTCCATAATGTAGGTGGGCCTCACCAATTAGTGGAAGGCCTTAAGAGAAAGGACTGAGGTCCCCCTTGAGAGGAAGGAATTCACCTCCAGAAAGCCTTCGGGCTCCAGATTACAACCTCAGCTCCTGATGGAATTTCCAGCCTGCAGGCCTGCCCTGTGGACTCCAGACTTGCCAGCCTCACAAACCTGTGAGCTAATTCCTTAAAATAAATCTCTCTTTCTCTATATCTGTATATACAATACAAACATACACACAATATGTACATATATCTCTCTAGAGAGTATATATATATATATGTACATATATATATGTATGCATATATTGTGTATATATATGTATCTCTCTCTCTCTGGAGAGTTCTAATACACCTACTTGGATATTTTGCTGAGCCTAGTGGCTAAGAGCACAGCCTCTGGAGCTGCCTGCCTGGGATTGGATTCTGATCCTGCTTCTTATTAGCTGTGTGATCTTGGCCAAGTTAATTCCTTTCTCTGTGCCTCAGTTTTCCCATCTGTAAAAAAGGTGACAACAGTCTCCGACCCAGGTGTACGGAGGTGTCTGCCTCAGTGGCCAGCACAGGGCAGCACTGGGCACTCAGTCCCTGTCACACTGGACGTGTCTGTAGGGGTGTGTGTCTCACCAGCTGCCGGAGGTGGGGCTCTCAGTGGCGGTGACGAAGGCAGCCTGGCCTGGAGGCTATACCGCTGTACACACCGTGCTGACTGTGAGCTCCGCCTCGGTGGCCATGATGTCTGTGGGCTGGATGTTGCGGTCGTACATCGGGTTCTCAAACGTGGCCCGCACATTGGTGTTCTCGTGGCCAGCGTAGCCGTTGAACGGAACTTTGGGTCTTCTCCTGGGAATGAGAGAGAGCGTGACCAAGACGTCAAGAGAGGAGACTCAGGGCCCTAAGAGGAGAGGGAGGCTCTGTGTTCCCTTCAGAAGGTCACAGCTCGCCTGAGCCAGGAGGGCTCTGGGTGGGTCAGGGAAAGGGAGAGGGCCTGGCACCCGTCGTGCGACCCTCCTGTCCCTTCCCCGTACCTGTGCTTGTAGAGATAGAGCACAAAGCCCGCGATGATGAGCGCGATGAACGGCACCAGGATCGCGGCCGCCACCGAGCTGCTGTTGGAAGCAAAGTGGCGGCCGATGGACTCGGGGTCTGATTCCAGCAGCCTGAGGTCTGCAAAATCCCAGAGCAGAAACCTCAGGTCACAGACACAGCGGCCACCGTGGTGGGGCTTGGGGTGCTGGTCGGGGCCCCCCAGCTGCCTCCCCCATTCACTGTGCCATTCTCCCTGGAGAAGGGTGGTCAGTCCACAAGAGCTGGTCAGGCCTGGGGAAGCCAGTCTGCGGGAGAACCTGAAACCGTGTCCCAGAATAAAATCTTAAAAGAGAGCAGCCCTTTAGAAGCTTCCAAACTTCTTTCGGCCATAGAAATTTTATCCCATGAAACCTTACGAGGCAGCCAAAATATAAAGCACGTGAAGGTGGACCTGCTCTGGAGGGCGTGGCAGCGGTGCTGAAGCTCCGGCCTCCGAGGGTCTCCCCTCCTCCCCCCCTCCCCCCTCGCCCCAGACTGGGAGCGCTCAGAAGACCACGGTGAGAGCCTCTGCCCCTGTCAGTGAACCGAGGGGGTGAGGCTCCGCCGGCACACCGGCAGTCAGCCGTGAAGCCAGAAGAAGAACTCGGTTTCCTGAGGTCTCTCTCCAGGGAAATGCCCTTCAAGTCTTTGAAGGGCTGCTGTGTGGAAGAGGGAGTGCTTTTACTCCAGGCAGCTAAGAGGATAGAGCTAGGAATAACTCCAGGGCAGGAGCAGGGCGGAGTGGGAAGCACAGGGAAGCAGGTTTCCGCTTACGCCAAGGAGGAGCTTTCTGAAGGTCAGAGCTGGGAGAAAACGCAGTGCACTGCCTTGGTAGACAGGGGGTCCCGGGGCACAGGGCAGTCAGCACCCGGGGTGTATTGAGCTGCCCATCAAGCACCCGGACCTGCCTCCTGTCTCCCCCTGAACTGCTTCCCAGAAGCCAGGACCCCTCCCCACATTAGAGGCTCTGAGTCAAGGCCAGTCTCTGGAGTGAGGATGCCTGACTCTGAGGATGCTTGGTCCAGGGTAAAGATGCTGGGGAGGAACTAGGGAAGGAAGCCTCCTTGATGCTTGGTTTTCCCATCTGTAAAATGAGGACAGCAATACCACCGTTCCGGGACTGAGACTGCCCTGAGAGCCCCACGTCGTAATGCTCAGGGGGTCCCGGGGATGCCTGAGGGCTGGCCAGATAGTATTGTGGGACGCATCTGAGACCCAGTGTCCCTTAAGCTGGGGGCTTTCAACTCCAGGGCTGAGCATGAAATTGTTTGGCAAAAGTTGAGGGTATTATGTATTGCACTTCCTTCTGGGGAGATATTACACAGCTTTTATCAAAATCTCAAAGGCGTCCCTGATTCAAAAGAGGCTAAGAGCCCCTCTTGGACTGCTGAACTTCACCAACCCCCTGCCCTCCATGCCAACATACAAGTTTTTCCGCCACCTGCTCAAGCATACACTCCAGGGACAAATGCTAGTTACCAAGTCTTTGAAAGCCGAACTGCCCAAAGCCTTGGCCCTTGACAGCGCCTTGGTAAATGAAGGTGCCTCCGGAGAACTCTGGGGAGACCTGTGAGGGAGGGAGCAGACAGAGTGAGATGGGAGGCACGCCGGAGGGAGCTAGAGGTCCGGCCAGCCAGGCCGGAGACACGCCCACAGGCACACGGTGCCCACAGCTGGGCTCACCTGCCTGCCTGTCATCTCCACTGACATCGGCTCTCTGCCCACCCCCAGGCAATGGCGAGGTGCTGGGGATAGGGCAGGGGCTCCAACTGCTGGTAGGAGGGAGGGAGACATTTTTGTTTCTACTGGTCGAATCACTTAATCTGTCGGTGCCTCAGTTCCTCATTTTAAAACGGGAACAAAAACAGTACTTATGTCATAGGGTTGCTCTGAAGCTTTATATGAGCGAATATAGGTAAAGCACTTAGAACACTTAATAGGCCCTAAGTAAATGTTAGCTATTATTATTGTGATGAAAAACTGAGTTTTAGAGCACCGCGGAGCAAACCAAACCATGATTAAAACGTTATCTAGCAGATTGAATGTACTTTGGAAAGTTCGTCCCAGTTCCAATAGCTATTAATTTGGGGGCGGGTAGTTGGGGACATAACTCCTCCTGGCTGTCTCTGTACTTGCCTCTGTGATGCTCGTGTACCAGACACAGACACGCAAACCTGTGGGCTGGGGACTGCTTGGCCGAGGGCGCGCTTGCTTTGAGGATGCTTCTGCTACCAGGGTTCCTTCTGACTCATGCTCCATCCCCAGGTGCAGCCCTCTGTCTGTTGTGCTCTAGGCTGACCCCCCCTGCTGTCCCCCCAAACACACCCTGGGTGACAGAGAAGTGGGCCCGATTGCTGGCTGTAGTCCCAGGCAGCCCTTCCGGCTGTTCCTGGCCCTCCAGAGCGCCATTTACACGTACGTAGCCCTTGGCCCGCACTCCAAGCTCCCAACTTTACCCTTGTTCTCTCCCCTCTGGCCATCCTCCCAGCACAATGGAGTCTGTTGTCCTGGCACAGCTTTTGGACTAATACTATTGACGCCAGCCAGGGCCAGGATACATGAGGGGATCCGTAGAATACTCTCAAGAATCCCGAGGAACTAACCCCATGTACCAGCCCCTGGAGAAGCCACTTGCTTCTCATGTGATTATCAGCAAAGTCACTCAACCCACAGCCCTCTACCAGCCAGTTTTGTCCGTGAGGATCCACCTTGACCCCTCAGCTCTCAGCTCCTCTGGCCCCATGACCTCTTCCTCCTTCCCACCCCTCCGCTTCTAGCTTCAATAATCCAAGACAGGGAAGCTGAGGATGTGACAGATGACTGCTCCACTCCCCTGCCTGTGAGATTGGAAGGTATGGGCAGAGGAGAATCACTGCAGAACTTCCACCTGAAGAATGCCCTTGCATGGAACAAGTCTTTCCCACAAGAGAATGCAAGAGAGTTGTCTCCTTTCCCCCAGCTGGTGGTGTCTCAAGCTGTGCTAAATCACCCACAACAGGCATCCTCAAACACGAGAATATGCTCAGTGTGCATCTGGGACTCACCACCTTCTCCCAGCCCCCACCACCACATCGTGACCTTCAACTTGCTTGCATTTACTCATGTACTGCCAGCCTCCAATCTCTTGCTTCCTGCTTACACATCAGAACCTACTTCATCTCGCTCAGATGCCCTGACCTTTACACTCTCAGCCTCCTGGCCCTTGCTGTGTCTTCCTGTGCCCACTTCACTAGCAGACGAGGACTCCCTTGCTCCCAGTCCTGGCCCCAAAGAAACCCTCCTCCCAAGTTTCCATGTTGATCCGAAGAGTTTCCACCAACTTCTCCCCTCGTCCTCCCTACTAGGGATCTGGGAATCAGGGATGGGGCAAGGGCACAGGGAGGTCAAGGACCGAGTGAGGTTTTGCTGAACTTACATGCCCATCTAAGGCCCAGTGATCACCTTTGAACTTATTCACAAAGACCTCCACAGGCCCTGTAACCTGGTAAACTTGGAGGAGGAGATGGGAATCTTCTTTCTTGTAAATTCCTGGGAAAAGAAAGTTCAGAGGGTACACTTGAAAGATCCAGGAAGATTTCAAAACCCAAGTCTGTGGGTATGTGGGTGTGAGTGTCTGAGTGGGAGTTCATGTGTAGATGTTGGTATCTACATCCCATGTATAACTGGCGTTAGGTAAGTGTAGTGTGTCCTGTGAGTTTGTGCAGGTTGAATGTGAGGATACACAAGAATGTGCATATGTGTTTTAATAATCAACTGGATTACTGACCTGTGGTTGTGCTCCTGTTTATACATGCATGTGTGAGAATAAAGGGAATTGGATTTTGTATATGTTACGGGGTCAGCTAATGCGTGGGTGTGTTTACAACTCAGTGCGTACAGGAATACATGAGGGCAGGTATATGGGAGTGTGTGAATGTGTTTAGGACTATGGCTTAGAGCAACTGAGTGAATATGAACGTTAGCTCTGTTTGTGTGTGTGTGCATGAATGAGTGGCTGTGACTGCACGTGGGGTTGTGTATTCACGTGTACAGTCATTCACTCATGCATCCATCGTTCTACCCATCTATTCGAATAAACACTTGCTTTCTAAGATATTCAGTTTTTCTGATTATAGAAAATTTGAAAATTGGGAAAATTTTGGAAAATGCAGAGATGCATGAAGAAAGAAAATTCACTCCTGATCTCACTTCTGAGAAATAACCGCTGTTAATATTTTGGTGTAATTACTTTCAATTTTCTTTCTTATGAATATAATTTTTTCCTTCAAAAACTGGAGTCCCATTTTAAATGCATTGTAGTAGGTGTATTTTCTCCCAAACTGGCATATTTTATCCGGCAGACATACTATAATTAATATATCCATTTCTTTTGAGACAATTTTCTATTCCCAGGTTTTATGTTATGGAAATAGCCCTGTAATGTGAACATTCTTTATTGGTAAATGTTTGATTCCCTCTATAACTATTTCTTATGATAAAATTTCGTAGAAGTGTAATTAATGGGGCCAGTCATTTTCACGGCTCTTGATACAAGTTGCCAAATTATTTTCTAGAACTATACTATTTTATACTTTGACCAGCACTGCATTAGTACCTTCACTGGGCTAGCACCAGAGTTTATTGCTTAATAAAATCTTAGTGGGATAAGTGGAAAGTGACATTTTATGTTTACTGTTTTTTGATTATTGTGAAAAATGTTTTTCCATTTGTTTATTAACTGTCTGTACTTTGGCTTCTGGGAGTTCTCTGCCCCTATTTTTGGTTCAGTTTTTAGGGATATACGTCTCCTTTTCCTTTATTTGTAAGAGTTCTTTGTATGTTCAATTTATTAATGCTTGTCATCTAACCATTTCCCTTTAGTCTGTGGTGCTTTTATCATGTAAACAAAGATGAATAGACACTTCCTCTTCCCCTGCCTACCAGACTAGCCCTGCAAGATAGTACAAGGAAGTGACAGTAGACTCGTTCTTGTGAAGAGCATGTGCCCATCACCCACACCATCCACAGGCTTTCCCAGAGCTGGCCTGCCCCTTACCAGCCAAGTGCAGCTCCACGCCACTGTGGTCAATCATGGTGGCGTTGACCTTGCTGTTGATGACCTGGAAACTGGTCACTCTGAGCATGGCTGGCTGCTTCTTCCCCTGGTACTCATAGGTCCCTTTCCATAGGGAATTCTTTGCAAAAACATCCCCAGGAACTAGAGGAATTGAGAAACAGATGTGAGAGGGGCTTTCACGTGTGCTGGTGGAATTGAGGCCACCTGACGATTGACCCCAGTTCACTCCCTGAGATTGTTTTCCCCAACATCAAACACGCAGGAGGTGGTGGAGTGTTCTGGCCTCCTTGTGATGCTCTGTGTCTCAGAGTGGATGGGTGGAGGGAAAGAGAGAGAGAGAGAAAGTGGATAAAGAAAAAAGAGAACATGAGGGGACGGGGGATTGAACTAGAAGAAAGAGGAAAATAAAAGGAGGGAAGGGGTTGAAAAGATGGAGAAAGAGAAAAAGAGAGGAGAGAAAACCAATGTCATAAAATAGGAACATGGACTAATGGGGTCAGGCAGATCCGGAGTCTCATTTTGGCTGTCAATTATCAGTTGTTTGATTACATACAAGAGTCTCCACTTTCTCACCTGTGTAGGCCACATCTGTACTTCTGTAAATGGGGCTGTCCTGCTTATCTCGTCAGGGGCTAAATGATTGTATGTTACATGATGTTGGGCACATAAAAGCAAACGATAGCAACCAAAATTGTTATTTATCCTTATAATAATTTTCTAAGGAGAGTATTATGAGCCTTATTTTAACAAAAGGTAAACTGAAGCTCCAGAGGTGAAGTTTCTTTGTCCAAGGACACAGCTGGTCAGGGACCAAAATGGAACTTTAATTGAGTTTGATGCCAAATCTAGTTTTCTTTCTTGTATAACACACATGCTAATATGGTAAATAAAAGTATAAGGTTCAAAAAAGGATATGATAGTCTAGAATAATTTTGCATTGGTCAGGCCATACCTGCAGTTGTGTGCCCAGGTCTGGACATCACACTTTGAAAGACACAATACCTGTCTTAAAAATGTAACCATTTCCAGCAAGCTCCCTAGGCAGGACCTGGGTGTATGTGTCTGACCACACACTGGCCAGCCCTGTGCCAGAAGGGGTTGGCTCCAGAGCTTGAAGCTCTGGACATGTTTCTAGAAGGCTTTGGCTCTCAATTCCGGATGCAGTTCCTGCTTCCTTCAAGCTCACTTCCTCCTGAGGTCTGCCTGGGTTTGGGAGGTGGGTGGGGAAATCTGTTCAGCTCTATAGACTGTTTTCACACCCTCCTATTGGGTACACAGAAATTCATGTGCATGTTTCTGGGTAAGTAGGTGAAGGAAGCAATACCAGTTTCTTGAGCCAAAGATCTAGAGCATACCTACCTGAAGCTTGAGTGAGCGGAGGCTCCCGGGCAGTGTTGATGGGTCTCCCACTGGGCCGGACCTCTGCTGGGGAAAGAGGATGGAAGAAAACAGGTTCACCCTCTGGTCTATGTTCTATTGGAAAAATAACGGTCAGCTCTCTGACATTAGGTCAGTGGGTTCTTTGAGATCTTGCTTTGGACTTACCCTCTTAGACCAGAAGGTGGGCTACTTTGTCTGGTGAGATGTAAAGAGTTTAAAGGAAATCCATTTACCAATTATAGTCATTGAAATATTAAGCAAAAAGTTAGAATATAGCTATATATGTGATTTTTTATTACTGCATTAAATAACAGGATCTAGTAGTAGGTCCAGTAACTATTCTAATCTTGAAGTAGTCAGGAACATAAACAACATTTCTTTCTTTTTTTTGTCCAGGCCACACGGCATGCAGGATCTTAGTTCCCTGATCAGGGATTGAACCTGTGTCCCCTGCAGTGGAAGCACGGAGTCCTACCTACTGTACCTCCAGGGACTCCCCAACAACATTTCGTGATATCCATAACTATTGTAGAGTAATGTGGAAATCTCTGCAGTTTCCACTGGTGACAAATTTATAGGTATTGCTAACATACTACAAGTTTTTGTCTATATCCTAAATTAAAGAAATGCTAAATTTCAGTAAGAGGTAAAGGAAAAAAAAGATGTCTATTTCCCATCCTAGCACACAGATCTGCTGAATGCCACTACTGAGGACCCTTGGTTGAAGGGCCTCTGCTTTCCTCCCAGAGGTCTGGCACAAAGGATGTCCTTCCGCCAATCAAGAGTGAAGTGCCTAAGTCCTGGTAAGGGTTTCAGTGGAGTGCTTCCCTCCCCTGGAGTCACGATATTAAGCCAGAGAAGCCCTCACAGGCAAAGGCAAAGGAGAAGGCTTTGGGCCTGAGCCCGACAGCCTAGGTTCCGGTCCCAGCAGTGCTACTTAGTGATTGTGTGACCTCAACTAGTCATGTCACCACTCAGAGTCTTGTCTCCTCATCTGAAACATGGGAAAATACTGAAACATATCTCACAGGTTTATGCTGAATAAATGTGGTTATGAACGTGAAAGTCACAGTCAATAAATATTAATGTCTTTTCTTCTTTTGCAGAGAAACAACAGAAATATCTGTCTTGTTGCTAAGTAAAGGGGGGGACACCCCCTACTGTCTCCAACTCTGAGGTCAGCTTATGTTCGGGTGTACAGAAGGCTGTGGACATATCTTCCACAGTGACTCCATGAAGGCACACCTCTGAACAAAAGGCCTTTATTGTCTTAGGTTTTATAAGATGAAGGGAGCAAAGAGGGAGAAAGCATTTTATGAGCCAGACACTGTGCTAGGCACTTTATTCATGTCATTTCATTTACTCCTTCTCTCAGAACTGTGAGGTAGACATTATTGTCTTCATTTAATAGAAGAGAAACTTGTTAGAGGCAGAGAGGTGAAGGGACTTACCCAGGGTCTTATAGTAAGGGGTTGAGTTGAGATTCAACTGCATCGAAAGCATTTTGTATTTTTAAATGCAAGTACCTATTATAGCTTAAAAAAATACTTAAGAATAAATGTAAACAAGAAAGTGCAAGACTGTACATTGAAAATTACAAACCGTCATTGAAAGAAATTAAAGATCTAAATAAATGGAAAGATATCCCATGCTCATGGCTTGGAAGACTTAATATTGTTCAAATGGCAATACTCCCCAGATTGATCTACAGATTCAACACCACCCTTATCAAAATCCCAGCTGTCTGTTTGCAGAAACTGACAACCCATTCCTAAAATTCATATAGAAATAAAAGAGGCCCAGAATAGCCAAAACAATCTTGCAAAAGAAGAGCAAAAAGGAGGACTTAGACTTCCCAACTTCAAAACTTGCTGCAAACTATAGTAATCAGGACTGGGTGGTAATGGTATAAGGACAGTCATACAGATCAGTGGAATAAAACTGAGGATCCTAATGTAAGCTCACACATTTGTGGTCAAATGGTCTTTGAAAAGGGTGCCAAGACAATCCAATGAGGGGAGAATGGTCTTTTCAACAAATGGTGCTGGGACAATTGGATATCCGCATGCAATAGCATGAATTTGGACCCCAAAACTCTTAGAAGAAAACACAGGTACAAATCTTTGTGACCTTGGATTAGGCAATGGTTTCTTAAATATGATAGTAAAAGCACAAGTAAACCTATAAAATATAGATAAATTGGAGTTCATCAAAATTAAAAGCTTCTGTGTTTAAAAGGACACCAACAGGAAAGTGTAAAGATCCAAACTCATCAAATCTTGTACACTACATATGTGCAGTTTTTGTATATCAATTATATCTCAATAGGGCTGTAAAAAAATCCACACCTGAAAAAAAAAAAGAAAAAAATTAACCCAGGATAAAATGGAGCTTAAATTTTAGGTGATGAACGAAATAAAAAAGAAAGTACTGTAAATTAAAAAAAAAAAAGGCAGTGAAAAGACAACCCACAAAATGGGGGAAATATTTGAAAATCATGCATCTGATAAGGGTCTTATATTCTAGATATATAAAGAACAGTTGAAGGGACTCTGGACCAAGATGGCAACATAGGAGGCTCCTGAATTCCCCTCCTCCCACGGATACACTGAATGTGCAGAAGAAAACAGATCAACTCTCTCTGAGATAAATCCAGAAACTAGCTGAGTGACACCTACACATTGGGTGACTGAGAAAATACCCACATCAAAACAGGTAGGAAAGGCTGAGACACATTCTTGAAATAAACCCCACACCTGGCACGGCACCATACAATCGGGAGGGACTCCCAACTCCCAGCTTTTCCCTGAGAGTGTTGAGTTTGTACCACACGTCTAGCACCCTGACTTTTAAGGATGCCATCTGAGGGATGGGTGCCCAAATCACCTAGCTCTGAAGGCCAATGGGGCTTGGGGCTTGTGTTCATGAGTTCCACAGGACTACAGCAAACAAGGAAGCAGTTCTTAAATGGACACAGTAGAAACCCCTGTGGCTATAAATATACCTGGTCTCACACTGAGGGAGCAGGTAAAAATGCACATCTCCCAGTTTCTCCCTGGAAGGGGTCTGACTGCATACTTTTCCAACTGTTGCCTGAGAGTCTGCTTCTAATCAGCCTGCATCTAGGTGCTGACCTCTGTGGGACACTGATGGGTCTTGGTACACCCTCAACTACTGGGAGCCACTAGGAATAAAGACGACAGCTTGGACAATCACAAAGGTTTGGGAGGCACCAGGAGATTAGGCTGCACTGACTGGTGAGGTTCATTGCCTAAACGAGACGGTTGGTCTGTGAAGACTGGGTGGGAGAGCTGCCTGTTTTATCTAATGAGTAGAAACCAACACAGAGAATCAGGGAAAGTGAATCAACAAGGGAAAATGTTCCAAACCAAATAATAAGATAAATCTCCAGAAACGGATCCTAATGAAATAGTGGTAAGTGATTTACCCAACAGAGAGTTCAAAATAATGGTCATAAAGATGCTCACTGAGGTCAGGAAAGCAATGCACAAAGCAAGAATTTCAACAAAGAGAAAATACTTTAAAAGTACCAGATGGAAACCGTAGAGCTGAAAATGTAATAATTGACCTGGAAAATTCAATAGAGGGGTTAAACAGCAGGGGTTTAAGCGGAAGTGAAAATCTAACATAAAAACACACGAAAGTATAAAACTCACTGGTAAAGATAAATATATGATTAAATTCAGAATACTCTAATATTGTAATGTTAGTGGGTAAATCACTTGTAACTCTAGTATAAAGGTTAAGAGACAAAAATGGTAACAATAACTATAACTACAATAATTTTTAATGGATATACAATATAAAAGATGTAAATTGTGACATCAAACACATAAAATGTGGGGGACTGTAAAAATGTGGAGCTTTTGTATGCATTCCAAGTTAGGCTTCTATCAGCTTAAAAAAAGACTGTTGTAAATATGTGTTATGTAAGCTTCGTGAAAAACACAAAGCATAACCTACAGTAGATATACAAAATATAAAGTGTAAGGAATCAAAACATTGCCCTTGTACCAAGTCAGACAAGGACACTTCAAGAAAAGGAAATTCCAAGCCTGTATCCCTGATGAGCATACACGCAAACATCCTCAAGAAAATATTAGCAAACCAAATGAACTGTACATTAAGAGGATCATACACCATGATCAAGTGGGATTTATTCCTGGGATGAAAGGATGGTTCAATATACACAAACCGATAAATGTGATACTTGTGCACTGCTGGTAGGAATGTAACAGTGTGGAGGTTCCTTCAAGAATTAAAAATAGATAATGTGTAATCATAAATGTAAAGGATCAATAGTCAAATCTAATGTATAATTATGTAAAGGAATAATATGAAATTTTTAAAAGCTGGACTGCTGTTATAGGAGCAGACATGAATAGTAAATATTCTCTGTAATGAAGAAAATGATAATGTAAACCAGTACAAGGATATTTTTATTCTATAAAAAAAAGAATTAAAAATAGAAATACCATATGATCCAGCAATTCCATTTCTATATATCCAAAGGAAATGAAATCTCTGTCTTGAAGAGATGTTCACTGCAGCATTATTCACAATAGCCAAACTATGGAAACAAACTAAGTGTCCATTGATGGATGAGTGGATAAAGAAAATGTGTGTATACATACAATGGAATATTACTCAGCCTTAAAAAGAAGGAAATCCTGCCATCTGTGATAACATGGATGAATTTGGAGGACATTATGCCGAGTGAAATAAGCCAGACAGAGAAAGACAAATATTGCATGCTACTACTTACATGTGGAATCTAAAAAGTCAAATTTATAAAAAGAGAGTACAATAGTGGTTGTCAGGGGCTGGGGGGGTGGGGGAAATAGGGAGAGGCTGGTAAAAGGATACAAGCTCTCAGTTATAAGATGTATATGTATAACATGGTAACTATAGTAGATAATACTGCATTGTATAATTGAAATTTGCTGAGAGAGTAGAACTCGTGTGCCCTCATAAAAAAAAAAAAGATAAATATGTGAGGTGATGGATGTGTTAACTTGATAATGGGAATCCTTTCACAATGTATATCAAATTATCATGTTGTATACTTTAAATATATTTCAATTTGTTTGTCAATTATACCACCTCAATAAAGCTGGAAAAAAGAAATCAACAGGACATAAAGGAGTTCTTACAACTCAACAATAAAAAGACAAATAGCCTAATTAAAAAATGGGCAAAGGATCTGAATAGACTTTTCTCCAAGGAAGATACACAAATGGCCAATAAACAAATGAAAAGATGCTCCACATTATTAGTCATTAGGGAAATGTAAATGAAAACCACAATGTAATACTACTTTATACCCACTTAGGATGGCTATACTCAAAAAGCTGGCCAAGGGCTTCCCTGCTGGCGCAGTGGTTGAGAGTCCGCCTGCCGATGCAGGGGACGCGGGTTCGTGCCCCGGTCCGGGAAGATCCCACATGCCGCGGAGAGGCTGGGCCCGTGAGCCATGGCCGCTGAGCCTGCGCTTCCAGAGCCTGTGCTCTGCAGCGGGAGAGGCCACAGCAGTGAGAGGCCCGCGTACCGCAAAAAAAAAAAAAGCTGGACAATAACAAGTACTGGCAAGGATGATGTAGAGAAATTAGACCCCTGGTGCATTGCTGGTGGGAATGTAAAGTAAATGTAAAGGCACTTTGCAAAACGGTTCCTTACACTGTTAAACATTGAGTTATTCTATTCCTGGATATATACCTAAGAGAACTGAAAACATATATCCAAACAGAACATGTACATTTATGTTCAAAGTAGCATTATTCATAATGGCCCCAAAGTGGAAACAACTGAAATGTTCATCAATGAACAAATGGATAAACAAAAGGTGGTATATCCATCAATAGAATATTATTCAGGCATAAAAAAGAATGAAGTAATAACACGTTACAACATGGATGAACCTCGAAAAAATTATGCTAAGTGAAATAATCCAGACACAAAAGGACAGATATCATATGATTCCACTAACATGAGGTACCTAGAATCAGCAAATTCATAGATATAGGAAATACAATAGAGGTTATTAGGGGCTGGAGAGTAAGGGGAATGGAAAGTTATTGTTTAATGGGTACAAAGTTCTTGTTTGGGACGATGAAACGATTCTGAAAATGGACAGTGGTGATGGTTGCAAAATATTGTGAACGTACCTAATGCCATTGAATTGTACACTTTAAAATGGTTAAAATGGTAAATATTACGTTTTGTATATTTTACCACAATTAAAAGTTAAATGTACTCTAAAAAAGAAAAATTATACCACTACCATTTGTGGAACACAAATATTACTTTCCCTAAATAAAAGAAATTTACAATAATTCATACAATGAAAATACATCATTAAATTCTAGCTCCGATAAAGGCTCTGAACCTGAAGCCTTCTCTCTCTGAGGGGCAGGACAGCAGAGTACTTAAGAGCATGGATTCTGAAGTTAGACCTGCCGGGTTTGAATCTCAGCTCTCTCCCTTTACCACGTTACTTGGGGCACGTTACTTAACCTCTCTGTGCCTCAGTTTCCTCATATATTAAATGAGGATACGAGTAACACCTGCCTCATAGGATGACTGCAAGGATTGAGTTAGTACATGAAGTACTCAGAACAATACCCGGAATGTGGTGAGGTGAGGTCAGCACCCGTAAGAGACATCTTACTGAATGCCATCCTAGCACCAAACCCATCCTTTATCCTTGCTGGATTGTTTACTTAAGACTGGACTCAGATTACCTTCTCCAGGAAGCCTTCCCTGATTCTCCCCTCCCCCTTAGGCTGAATTAGTGCCCTTCCCAGCATCCCCACAGCATTCAGTGCATCTCTATGTTCCTGAAGGTACTGTTATATCTGATAATGTGTGTGTCTTCCACAGCTGAATGTGAGCTCCTTTAGGGCAGGGTTTGTGTCTTTCACCTCCCCATCCCCCATGCCCAGCACAGCCACGCACAGTGATAATGCTCAATAAATAGAGAAGAAATGAATGAAGAAGAGGGGGAGGGAGGTGTAAGACGCCACGGTAACCCTGAGGGATCTGTGAGTGGGTACTGTTTTATCAAGGTTATGATAGGCATATATGCATAACGTGTTATTCCCGTTCGCTGGGACACAGAGCTTTTCTCCATCTGATGATTAAGTGTAATCCTAGAACGCTGTATACTTAGCGCTGGGCAGAGTGTTTAAGCTCATGCAGAAGGCAGCAAGGTAGAACTTGGGACGGCTTCACTCTGTGCTCCTTAGACTACTCTGGTTTAATCTCCTAGACTCAACACCTCAGAAAATCAGAAGCAGGCTCCAGCTTCCGGAAATCACATTTCTTTCTTCTCTTTGGCCTTCTTTCACTCAAGCTCAGCTGTCCCCTTTGGCCCCCCACCCTGGAGAAGCTCACCGAGGGGGCACACTCACCCAGGCAGACGGGTGGTTTGCCTGTCCAGCTGCCATCTGCTTTGCATGTGCGGTGCTCGGAGCCACCCTTGAGGGAGAAGCCCTCCTGGCAGGAATAGATGAGCGTGTAGCCCATGGAGGGCAAGTCCAGGGCCCCAACGTTGGCATGGGTCGGCATCTCCGGCTGCTTGCAGTGGTGGGCTGGATGACAGGGAAGACGCTGCTGGGAGACGAGGGTCTCCAGGAGGCCTCTCCACCACTCCCCTGTTCCTTGATGGACCACCCCCTTCCTTTCCCTTATGGGCCCCTTTCAGGTCCAGCATCCCCTCCCCAGCCCCAGCCCCACCCCAGCCTTGATGTCTATACGAGAGGCCAAGATGGAGATCATGTGGATATTGGCTCAGTCAACCCTGGGGGAACCTAAACCTGCAGCAATTTTCCTGAGGGAAAAGGAGTAATTATGGTCAAAATCCTGAAATCTTCCATCCTGAGGGCAGGCCTTGTAGTTGCTAGTATTTGCTGCCATGGGAAAGTTCTTTCTTTTTCTTTGCGAAGGCATAGGAATTGCCTTCTAATATCAGAAAGGCTTCTGTGCGTAAATATCTTCTGTGGGGCTCCAAGGGGTAAGGAGTACAAAGAGACCAATACTGGTCCCAACGAGGAGTTCTGAGCTCTCCGTCATTCAGAGCACTCAAGCATCTCCTAGATGCCCAGCTGGGGGAGATTATGAGTTGCCAGGAGGAGTTGTCTGGGCTGTAGGCGAAATTTGCACTCACAGACACAGTCGGGCGGGGTTCCGCTCCAGGTCAGGTTGGGAAGACAGGTCCTGGTGGTGGAGCCCTGGAGCAGGTAACCTTTCTGACAACGGAAGAGCACGGTGCTTCCAACCTGAGGACGAAGTTCCCACAATCACCTTCCATCCAGCGACGCTTCATACCTGTCACCTGACTGCTTACTTTCCCACGACATTACTCCTACCCACCCTTCTGTTTCTCTGCCTGATTAAATCTTATTTATCCCTTGAGGCAGCTTACATTATGCCTCTTCCACAAGGCCTCACCCAATTCCCTGGGCCAGATCAACACTCTCATGGGATATATCATATTTTGCTGTGGGGGGCTGAGTGCCTGACCCAGAATCAGAAGACCCTGGGTTTGAGTTCTAGCATCTACATTTACTCACTGGATGCCAGGCTGCACGAAACTCTCTACACCTTAGCCTTCCTGTGTAGAGCTGGGATGAGCAGCCCTGCCACACTACACTGGAATGTCGTGACACTCAAATGTGAGGGTAGATTTGAAAGCATTTTATGAAATGTGAAGAACTGTGCAAAGTAGAATATTACTGTGTGTGTCTCTTCCCTCCGTGAATCTATAAATTCTTTTAGGACATGTCCCCTATAGAATCTGGAGCTATGCTTTGTAAAAAATCTCTTGAGCAGAATTGCTACCCTCCCTGCAGCCCTCCCTCTGCTCCACTAGCCCCTCACCGTCTGACCTGACATTCCCTGCAGCCACCAGCTCCATCTCTCCATCTCTAATCCGTGCGGCACCCTGCTGCCAGATGAGCTTCCGAAACTGCAACTCGGATCACACTATTTCCCAGCTCGAAACACTCACGTGTCTCTATTACCTCTGGGAGCAAACTGAAACGCAAGGTGAAACCTAATTTCCACTCCCTTCCTCCACGCCCATCACCTCGTTCAGCAAATGGTACCCCTATCCACCCAGTTGTGCAAGTCAAAAACTTCAAGTCGTCCTTGATTCCTCCCTTTCCTTCAACCCCTCCATTCAATCCTTCAAGAAGTCTTCTTGGTTCTACCAACAAAATACCTCCCGACCCCTTCACATCTCTCTATGTCCACTGTCACTACCCTGGCTCAGTCCCACCCTCATCTTTCTCTCAAGATGCTGCAATAATATCCTATTTGTCTAAGTGCTTCCATTCTTACCCCCTATTGTTCATCCTCTCCTCAGGGTCCTGAGTGATAGTTCAAATGATGGATCAGATTAAGTCACCTTCAAATGGTTTCCTATGACATTTAGAATACAATCCAAAATGCTTATCATGGTCTCAAGGCCCTATATGACCTGGTCCATGCCCTTCTCTTTTCAAAATTTATTATGTGATATTTGGTGCATAGAAAAGAATATATGGCACATATACAGACGTGAATCATCATAATAAACTGGACACCTTCAGTGGAGCCCACCACTCAACCTAAGGGTTAGAACATCATTGACATGTTTGTCATCTACGTGCTCCTTCCCTGCCCTGTTCCTCAGCTCCCCTCGGTGAAAACCAGTCTCTTGAATTTTGTGTGGTTTTTTTTTTTTTCCCCCCGGTACGCGGGCCTCTCACTGTTGTGGCCTCTCCCGTTGCGGAGCAACAGGCTCCGGATGTGCAGGCTCAGCAGCCATGGCTCACGGGCCCAGCCGCTCCGAGGCACGTGGGATCTTCCCAGACCGGGGCACGAACCCGTGTCCCCTGCATCGGCAGGCGGACTCTCAACCACTGCGCCACCAGGGAAGCCCGAATTTTGTGTTTTTCATTTCCTTGCTTGGCTAAAAAATAATTCTATCACATATGCCTACATATATCTCTAAACAATATAAATTTTTCTTGGTTTTAATCTTTCTAGAAATAGTATCCTACCACTTTTGACGTTCAACACTATGTTTCTAACAGTCATCCGGAGCTATAGTTCCTTAATTGTCACTGCTGTGTGATGAACCATCCTGAGACTACACCAGGATTTTTCTCCTTTCTTGGTAACACGTACGAGAGCGTCTCTGGGGTTGCTTACTCTGGGTCATAGGATGTGTGAATATTTAACTTCACAAGGCAGTGCCAGCCTAGCTCTTCGGCTTCATGTCCTTCTCCTCTCTCTTTATGTTCCCGACCCGCTGGCTGGCCAGCTTTCTAGTCCTGCAAGCTGCCAATTCCCTGCCTGAGCGTTCCTCTGCCATGGCCGTTGCCTCTGCTGGGAACGCCCACCCAGCTCTGCACAGGGCTGGCGCTTCCCACCATGGGCGCCACAGTTCAAGTTTAGGAGGCCTCTTCCCTCACTCTGCTTCCTAAAACAGCAACCACCCCGGCCCCCATCACACCCTATTATGCCATGTGTAGTGCCTATCGCTCATAGAAGTGATCTTGTTTATTTATTGTCACCAGCCAGGGAACTCCCGTAGAGCAGGCACTTGGCCTGTCTTGTTCCCACTGTATTCCTAGTGCCTAGAATAGTTCACGGCAGTAAATATTTGATAAATCCCATTGCTAGGTAAGATCCCAACCCGCCATTTCCGGCTTAGTCCCTGGTATCCCCTGGGCACATTGGGGGCTCCAGTTCATTGTCCTGCCTTGAACACACCCATAATTTCCTGCTTCCTTCTGCTCAGAGGGTCCCATCCAGGCTGTCCACATCCTTTCCTTTTGAAGCGCATTCTGAGATGTGTCCCTGGAGCCTGTATCCTGCTGGGACGGGCCTACTGGGCAGGAGACTGTCTCCCATGTGGCACTCGCTGGCTCCCGCCACCCTGTCTGAGCCCCGTAGGGTGTGGGTGCCCTGGGGACAGAAGGTCCATCTGTCTCTCTCATTTCTGTCCCTGCCCCAGCCACAAGGGGCTGCCTGGAAGTGCCTGTGGAGCTACACGAGAGTCTGTTCTTCCACATCAGCTTCTCGGGTTGGTGTAAACGCCTGCCTGTTTCTGAGGGGTCATGCTGCGCATCCTGGCTTGAAGAAGCAGGCTGCTTTCTCTCTCCAGCTTCCAAGGTCTCATGCCCCCTAGTGCTGTCCTGAGTCCTCTGAGACTGATGACAGTGACAAGGACAGAAGGCAGAAAGGCCCGATCTCGGTTGACCTCGTTACCTGGTAGCCCTGGGAATTGTTCTGTATCCCAAACTGTGGCACGCCAGGGTCCGCACACGTGGTCAGCGTGGGGTCTGGATGGCAAAACAAAGGAACAGACCATGGTCAGGGAAGCTTTCATCGCCCCTGCTCACTCTGAGAAACAGATGCGGGATCGAGGATGGAGTCACTCCCTGACTTCCCTGCCCTTGGGAATCTCCCCCCCGAGTCACGCCCCGGCTGACAATGATTTCCGGCAGCACATGAGCTATGGCCACTTCACCTCCTGTTCTAAGTAGCTCAGGGGAGTGCTCGCCCTGTTTTGCAGTGAGACCAATTAAGACAGGGAAGAAAATTCATCATCTCGGGCCCCAAAGAAGGATCCCCACCAGCTGGGACACTCTGCTCCCGGTCACCTCTCACCTATGCAGCTGGGCTGGGTGCCACTCCATGTCCCATCTGACTGGCAGAACCTCCGTGGAGAGCCCACCAGCACCAGAGGGGGCTGGCAGGAGAAGAAGACAGAAGACCTGTAGGAGAAACCTCGGTCCTCTCTCCTGCCACGGGCCGGGATGCCAGGATCTCCGCAGAACACAGCTGGGAAGACCAGGGAGAAGGGCAGGTCCAAGTTGCTTTCTAGAACTCAGTCTGCTCGCACCCCTTAACCGCCACCCAGCCTTTGGTCCTTGTATTGCTTTCCTCTTGGTTCCACTTGAACTCTGGCTGTGGGGCAGCCCTGGGTCAATGGTTACACCTGCCTCAGCGCTGCTGTGTGTTTCCTCTCCTTTCCACATTCAAATGCTTATTAATAACCATATCCATGTAATAGAGTAACATTACAGGAAGTTGAGAACATGGAGAAAAAATAAACTATCATTGTACTACCCAAAACATTTTGTTCATTTTTGTGCTCATTCCCTTCTAGCATTTGCTCAGTTGTATGGAAACTTGTGCGTGGCTGCAAACCTGATGTCCAGGTGCTGTCACCCTTGCTTTGTTCACTTGACGTTCTGTACACATTTCCCATGTTTATGACATCATTATCACTTATTGGCTATGCAAATTTGCAATGAGATGGTGTAACATGATTATCCTAACCCTCACATTAGGCATTTTCTATTATTATAAAGTTACTTATGGCTTTTCTTTAACTTGTATTATTTTCTTAGGGGAATTCTCTAGGAGTGAACTTACTATCCTTAAGGGTTTGAGTGCGTTCGCAGCTCTTGATGCGTATTGCCAAATGTCTTTCCAGGGACTATGTATTTACCCTGCAGTGAGCAGTATCTGAGTGTGCCTATTTCATTCGGATCAGCAAAGAGTATCTTTAAAAACTGACTGTGGAAGGCCAAGTTCCCCAAGACATCACTTCAAGCGTGAGGAACCTTCTTTATGCTATGGTATGTGTGTGTGTCTTTACATAGAGTCATGAGGTTCACAGTCAGATGCGAAATCAGATGGAAGCCTGGCCCTGGAAGCTGCGGAGTCTGGACGGAGCAATCAGAAGTCAGTTAAAGGCTGAGCCAATCGGAAGCCACCACACCCAGGAAGAGGCAACTCAAAGAATAAGAAATACGAGTGGATGACACAGAGCAGCTCAGTTTGGCTAAGAAGCAATGTGATGCCAATTAAAACAATGAGATATCTTTTTAAACTCCTCAGGCTGGTAAATATTAAGAATATTGGCAAAGTCAACTGGTAGTGAGGGTGTGAGTCAAGAAATCTTCTCATCAACTGCTGGTGGGAGCGTAAACTGGGACACCGTTTCTAGAAGACAGTTTGGCAACATGCATCAAAATGTATAGCGTGCACACCAGTTGGCCCAGTATCCTCACTCCTAGGACTTCAACACAGGCATAAAGAAATGCTACTTTCGAGGCTATGCATTGCAGAACTGCTTCTAACATGATTAAGTTGGAGAAACCCAACTTCATCACCAGTAGGAGAGGATTAAACCAGTTGTGGCACATATAACAAGGGAATTCTTTAAAGCCATTAAAAATGATGATGTATAGATTAGTGTGTATTGATAGAGCAAGGGGCTGATGGCCTGTGAATGAATACAAGTTGTGAAGAGCACGATTCAATACCATTTATAGAAAATTGCATACATACTGCTATACATGCAAAAATGCATAGTGATTGTGTGGAAGTATGACAAGCCTAACTATGGCTATCTTTGGGAAATGAGGGTTCAGTGAGGGTGCATTCTTCTTTGTATTTTTGGATATAGTACAGTTTTGGGGTTTTTTTTTTTTAACAATAACCGTAATTCATTGTTAGAAAGCAATTCAGCTATTTCTCAAGACAAAAAGCAAGGTTTCTGAGTCCAGACTCAACCTGGAGCCTTCCTCCCTTCCTAATGTTTCCCTGGAGGAATACGAAGGTCTAAGGGGTTAACCACACACCACATGCTGCCTTTCCTGTGTCCACTTTTACTGGCCCTTGTCTCTGCTGAAATTTCCCGAACTGAAGTAAATTTTCAGAGGTCCCCAAACAGTGTCATGTGTAGTTGATAGTTTTCTGCAGCGTTAGAGAAATGCCAAGTAGAAAGAAAAAATAGGTCCTACTGTTTGTCCAAGTTCCAGAGCCAGATTATGGGGTAAGGCAAGAATGAGTGACCTGCAACCTGCTTCTCTGGGGGACTCGGTAAGAAATGAGCCCTGGCATGGACTTGAGGCTCTTTGAGACACAATCGGGCCAGGTAGATCAGAAATAACTCTCTCACCAGAAAATCACAAGGGCCCCAGCGCCTCTTCTGTGCAGGGTATTTTCCTTGAAGACAGGCATGTTTCTAGCACTGCCCCGCTTGCCTGTCTATCACCCCAGCTTTGGGTTCTAGCGCAACCAGTTAACAACCTTTCAGGTTAAGAAACACCTCCCTTATCTCTGGCTTAATTTCCTTCCACTGTGACTCCACAGGTGAGAGGAGGCAGGGCTCAATTAAGATAGTCTCATATTCTTCCTTTAAAATCTCTTCCTTCTTTAATAGTGTCTTTGACAAAGCTCCTCCCTGATTTGGGGCCAGGAACCTCCATTCTAGGCCTCCTAGCAGCAGAGCTCTGGAAGCAGAGCAGCAGAGGAGGGAAGAGGAGGGAGCCAGCAGATGGGATGCCTCGAAGGCCCCCGTGAGTGACTTACGGAAACACTGAGGCAGCTCTCCAGTCCAGGACCCGTTTCCCTCGCAGGTGAGCACCGCAGGCAGGGAGAGCTGGTACCCCTCCAGGCAGGCATACGTCACGCTTGAGCCCCACATGAAGTCGGACCCCACCACTTTCCCGTTGGGGATGAGCTGAGGCGGTTTGCACATGATAGCTGGGGGAGACCAAAGCAGGCTGAGTGCTGGGGCTGCCCCGGGGGGAAACCAGGCCCTGGTGGCCGCTGACACTGAGTCACTGGCTCCCTGTGCCTGCCAGGAGTCTGGGCTAAGTGGCAAGAAGCAGGAACATCCCCTCTTCCTTTGGGAGCTTGTTCTTTTTGCACCTTACGACAACCCACTCCTCTCTGCAGGGCCCTGCCCTCAGTGTTCAAGGCCCAGGACCTTCCCGCTCCCTCCCTGCAGATGTTCAAGGACCACTCCTCACCTTGCACACCCCCTGATAAGATGTTAGGGCTCTGCCTCATCACACCCTCCCTTCTAGATGTTCAAGGCTTTTGTACCTTCTCTGCCCCTGTGTCCACATCCGAAGCCCCCACACACACCTTTGCAGACCGGCTTGGTGCCATTCCACGTCCGGTCCTTGGTGCAGCTCAGCACGGACACCCTATGTGACTCCATCATGTAGCCAGGGATGCACTGGTAGGTCACAGTTTTGTTGTACCTGAAGTCACTGCCCAGCCGGAGGCCATTGGCTGGAATCCCAGGGTCGCCACAGTTTATGACTAGGATGAGGAGATAGAGCATTGTTCACTCTGAGCACAGGCCCCCCCCCCTCCCCAGCACCCCAACGCCATCCCTATCACTCCCTGCATGTGTCTGGGAAGGAAAGCTGTCAGGGTAGGGATGTCCTGTCCCCTCCCCGGTTCCTAGTTGGGCACCATCCATTCTAAGTCCCCGCAGCCAAGTCTGCTTGCAAAGGCTGTCCTGCATCCCCCATCCTTGCCCGCACCATCCTTACACACCCCAGCAACCTGGGCTGGGAAACCCGTCCTTTTCATTTAAAGCCCACACCTCTAAGAGGAAGTATCCAGACGGCTCGCTTCATAAACGAGGCTGGGGTCCGAGGAGAGGGACGTTTCCAGGCTGAAGAGCTTAAGATGTGTTGACGGACCACATAAGACAATTTGTCACCGGAAAGGGCATCTTACTGCCTGCTCTTCTGCCCAGGAGAACTCTGTGGGTCCAGGGGCCTGGGAGCAGGGTCTTGTGACCGATGCAGTGGTCATACCGATGTTACGGTATCAAGTGAGGGTGGGGTTTGGTGAGCTCTGGCCTCAGAACAAAAGTGAACTTGACAGGGGATTTCAAATGGAGCCTGAAATCACAGCTAGGATTTTGAAAGGGAGAATGTTGTCAGATTCCCTTATCTTATCACTTCCTTCCATCTGGGCCCCACGGTGATTTGCTTTTCAAGGAAAAGGGTCTGGAGCTGCCCTTAAGAGAAGCAAGAAAGGGGAGGCAGGCTGGGGTGGGGATGGGTACAAGGGAGAGAAGGAACTAACAAAGATGGTGGATGGCAGCAGCTCTAAGGTGGAAAGAGAATCAGGCTGAGCACTGGGGCTTTGCCCTAAAAGAGAAAAAGAAAGCCCAAGGAACTGGCTAGAGTCTAAGAGATAGCAAATAATTATATATTCTCAACCTCTCTGAGCTTCAGTTGTCTCATACATAAAGTAGAGCTAATAGTACCTACTTCATGGGGTTGTGGTGAGAATCAAAAGATGTGATGCATGTGAAACAAAGCACTTAGCTCAGTGGCTGTCGCATACTATGTGCCCAGTAAGTGGAGGCTATTTGTATGATTCTCATTCAGGGTCAAGTCCCACCACGTCAGCCAGCCTTCCCAGTCTCCTCCAGACAGCCTTCTTCTTTGGCACGGAGAAGCCCGATTGCCTTGGCCACCATTTGCCACAGAGCCCAGAGGTTCTCACCTATGCACTCCGGGTCGCTGCCTGTCCAGGTGCCATTGACCGAGCAGTGCCGGCTGAGCAGGCCTGTGGTGTAGTACCCTTCCCGACACTCATAGACGATGGAGCTGGAGAAAACCAGGCCATCGCTGAACATGACTCGGGCATTGCTTGGAGTCCCGGGGTTCCCACAAGAGATCACTAGGAAGCCGAAAGGACACGTTATTCATCAGAACAAGAGCAGGCATCCTCTGGGGGGGCTGGGCCCTGCCCAGAGTGGAGACCTCGTGCTATGTAAGGACCCTGTGGATTGAAATGCCTTTTGGGATGCTTTCATGTCGGATCATCTCCCCCTTAGAAGGGGAGGAGAGACCTGTAGGGATTTTTTTTATGATTTCTAAAAATTAAAGACTGTATCTGTTTTATTATCACACCTGAAATTTTAAACAATTCCTTAATATCACCAAATGTCCAATCAGTGCTTAGCGTTTCTGTCTATCTCTTTTTCACAGTTGATTTGTTTGAATCACGATCCAAATACAGTCCACACATGACACTTGGCTGGCACGTCTCTAAGACTCTGAATCCAGAGATTGCTGGGTTACCCTCTCCTACAATTTATCTGTTACACAAATCAGGGCATTTATCCGGTAGAATCTCCCATTTTCTGGATTTTACTAACTGCACCAATGAGGCATTGTTCAGCATATTCCTCTGTCCCCTGTACTTACTGTAGTCAAATTCTACTCTTTGGCAAAGGTACTTTTCAAAGGTTTTGTGTTTTTCTTATCACATCGCATCGGGAGGCACAGAATGTCTGGTTGTTTCCTTGTTAGTGATGTTGAGGCTGATCAGTGGGTCGGGTCTGCCTGCCTCATCTGGCATTATAAAATTCCTGTTAGTTGTCACTTAATGGTTTTACCAGAAATTAAATATTGTTGACCAGATTGGTTATTTCATTAGGGGATAGAAATGGTGACATTCTAATTCTATAATTCTTTCTGCTTTAGCTAGTGTTTAAGAACTTGTCCATCATCAAATATTTGCTTACCCAGAAATAGAGTTCATATAGGATGGCTGGATTAATGCTTGATTTCTTTTTTTTTAAATCAGACGTGAGAACAATGAGTTGGTTCCCTAGCAAGCTCCAAAGGACAATATTTGAATTCACAGATTTGAATTTATTTGCTATGTTTCCATCTGTTGCCTCTTTTATTCTTATTGACACTCAAATTATCCCATCTTTGACTAGTGGGAACCCCTTCAAGTTGGCTCCTGAGTTCCTTTGACATGACCCACTTGTGTTTGGTACATTCCTTGTTGTAATGACAAGATTTTCTATGTTCACCTTGCATATATCCTGCCCCAGTCCTGGAATCAGCCATTTCTCTAAAGAGCTCTGGTTCCTTTGAATGGGCAATGGATTTAAAAACTACAACCTGGGCATTAAGGGTACTCATTGCTACTGAGCTGGTCATTGATTCTAGACTTTTAGGCTGGGAAAATAACTTTTCAAATTGAAAATACATTATGACTTTACGCTGATATTACCAAGTCAAGTTTAGAATTGAGTTTTTCCTTAAATTTTTGATTTTTATATGAAATCCCTTTTATGTTGAAAATCATGGTTCTTTTTTTTTTTTTTTGAATTTTTTTTTAATTTTTTGCGGTATGCGGGCCTCTCACTGCTGTGGCCTCTCCCGTTGTGGGGCACAGGCTCCGGACGCGCAGACTCAGCGGCCATGGCTCATGGGCCCAGCTGCTCCGTAGCACGTGGGATCCTCCCAGACCGGGGCACGAACCCGTGTCCCCTGCATCGGCAGGAGGACTCTCAACCACTGCGCCACCAGGGAAGCCCGAAAATCTTGGTTCTTAATGACAATAAATATTTTTAACTTGTTTTATCCATATATATTATGGTATTATATACATAATAGTTTCAGAATAGTAATACCAGTTTTATTACTAGCAATATGATTGCAAAAAAAAGTTTAAGATTTCATTGTAGTTCTTTGTCCTCAGAATATATGTACCATAGTCAGATTTCATTTTTTCAAGTCAATTGAAATAATTCTCTGGGTTATTAAATCACCAACTTGATACATAGTTAAGTTCATTGGTTTCCATTTTGATTTGATATTCGGAGAGTACTTGTTTCTAATCTTTCATTTAATTTTATTTTGTAAATATGTACAACATTTACATAGTCCCAGAGTCAGATCTACAAATGATTCCTATGTAATTAGCACAACAGATAGGCCCTATCATCCATCCACTCAACAAGTATTTGTGCTGCCTACGTGCTGGGTATGCAGTGGTGACCAAGCCATGTCCCCTGCCCTTGAGCAGCCCAGTCTATCTTAAGAACCTACCTATAAACAGATGAATTAAAATATGATGTAATCAGTGCTATACTTGAAGGAAAAAAAGCACTAAAAAGAGAGTAGTTTATTGGGGCTGGAGATAAGAATTTGAGTAGAGCCTTAAAAGATAAGTGGGAGCTTGCCAAGGGAAGTCACAAAGAGCTGTGTACATGTTACACATACACTCACTCAACAAATATTTGCTTCCAGGTCCAAACTCTCAGCTGCCCACTTTCTGTTCCCTGAACACTCCTGACATTGATGGCTGACTCCATCCTGGGACCTGAGTGGCAAGAAAGGGAACCTGGGTCACAGTGGATATTTGAGAATATACTAAATTCTCCCCCTGCCAAAACACTCTCTCAGTACCACAAAACCTCTCTTACTATGCCTAGGAAATCCTATAAAAACTAACTTTGCGCCCCCAGAAAGGCAGGACTTTGGACAGACAAGTGGGCGAAGGCACTGACTCCATTTCTATCATTGGTGTCCCCTGATCACGGGCCAGAGCATCTCCCCTTGCTCTTCAGGACTATGCCACAATCTCAATTTCATGCAGCCCATTCTCTAACCACTGCCTTTTATTTCTTTAGCTCGCTCCCTCTGGAATTCGTTCTCTGGTGATTGGGACCTATAATCCACTGATCCTACCACCTTTTCACAGCCTCTTACTCCACTCATAAAGCCGTCCCCTCCTTACCCAGCTTAGATGCTAAGATTTATCATAATCACTGCTTTGTGTATACCCTCATCTTCCTTGCCACTTTCTTTCAATGTCTTAGTTGCTTAATAAAACCCCAACCCTACACCTAATGCTTCACCTACCCTGTGCCTGAAACTATGTAGCTAAATGTGTTTGAAAAAAACCCCAGACCAATGCTGACTACTGTCACTTTATGTTAACGGCTCTTACCTTAATGAGCCCTCGGTGCTGCCTGGCAATTATACATTTCCCTATTCCATTCCCACTCCTCCCTTGCTAGATGATGATTTCATATTGCGTCCTTCCTCTTCCAACACCTCAGTCAATCTTACTCTTACTGTTAAACTGCTTCCTAACTAGGAGAGTGCTATGCAGGTTGTATTTTAGAGAGGGGGGGACAGAGAGGGAGCGACAGAGAGAGAGAGAGAGGGAGGGAGAAATTTGGGGAACAGGTACAAAAAGTTGGACTTTAGGGAGAGAGGTTTTAAAAAAGAGTTTTGTTTTTTTTTTTCCAGAAATTTAGGAGTGCGTGGAGAAATATATTTTCCCTTCTGGGCCTACCTCAGGAACCATCATTAAGAGCTTATATTACTTTTAAAGGATTTTTAAAAGCTGGATCTGTATTTCTTTTGGCACTTTTGATGCTATTTAAACACAGTGTTTTCCCTTAAACTGTAAGCCCCAAGAGGGCAAGGTGGGTCTGTCTCCATCAGCATTGTGTCTCTAGCCTATACTACAGTATTTGGCACACAGTTGTTGAATGAAACTGTATGGAAATAAATGCACAAATGCGCTTAACTTAGTTTATCCTGGTGTCTTCCCTTCTTAGGTAAGTGGGGAATATGTTTGCCTTTGGATTACTAATGAGATGAACATGAACTCTCCGTTGATGCCCACTATTCACCATGCCAAGGGTTCAAATGGGGCCCTGCATTTCATCTGTGTATGTGAGGGCAGGTGATAGGGCGTAGGAAAATGGGGGAAGATCCTGGGGCCGGCAGAGGGGAGAAGCAGAATGGTCACATACATTACCTCCACACTCAGGCTGCGTGCCGCTCCACGAGCCGTTGGCTTGACAAGTTCGCTCTGACGATCCCCGGAGCACGTGGCCAGCTTCACAGCTGAAGCGCATCAGGCTGCCCGGGGCAAAGCTATCTCCCAAACGGATGCCATGGGCTGGGATGCCAGGGTCACCACAGATTCCCATGCTGGCTCCTATGGACCAGAACCAAGAAAACCCTGTTGTTTTTAGCGTGGCAGGAAAGGGAGTGGAGGACTTGGAGAGAGAAAGGTGCTGGGCTGATGCTAAGGAAGGGCAGTGGGCCCTAAGAATGAGGGCGGTGAAACTGACCGTGTGTCTAGCCTGAGTCACCAGGACAGGCTCCTGCCTTAGCGCTCAGTGGTCAAAGGACACAGAGGGCTGAGGTCATGTGTGGGTCCCCGGGGACCACGAGGCAAGGGAAGAAAGAAGGCAGAGGGAAAGCTTTGTGGAGGAAGTCATGCCTTTTTGTTCTTTGGCTTGTGCCGGCGTGGGATGCCCGTGGTCCAAGCTGGCCTTCTCCCTTTCACCTCTTCTCCACCATCTGTTGATCTGGTACCCTCTCCATTACCAGCTCCACTGTCTTAGCTCAGATGCGCAACGTCTCTCTCCTGAACTACATTGCCGGAGCCTCCTAACTAATGTCCCTTCCTCTCAAACTCTCCCTCTAGTCTATCTTCACTTTATCCTTAAATCTTAGCAATGAACAACCACAACCACAATCTGATTTTCGTTCTTTCCTGCTAAATTAGCTCCACTGGCTTCCCACTGCTGAGAGAAAAAAGTTCCAACTTTTTAGCAGAGTTTCTGCTCAACAGCCCAGCTTGAACCTTGATCCTGGGCCTTTAACTGAGGATTTTCTATTCACAAATTGTGCAATACAGGTGAGCTCTAGATTAGATATCTTAGATCCCTCATTTCATCCTTTCTTTGCCCCATGCCTCCTGCCATATTTCTGCATGTATCTGGCTTATTGTGCAAACCCAACCCAGGAGAGTTTTAAGGACCCAAGAGGTGGGGGAAGATGGAGAACAGGAGACAAAGCTACATGACCTAGTGCCTGTGCGAACCAGCACATCTCAGAATACGGAGATGCACGGGAGACACCACTGGATCAGCCTAGGCCATGGTAAGCTTGAGGAAGGAGGAAGAAAATGAAGGAATAAATGGCAACTCCACGAGAAGATAAAGTTTCCCATCGATGTAGAATGCACCTCCTCGTGAGTCCACGTGTGTAGGCATCGATAGTAACATCTTGGCCACAAGTGGCTTAAGCCATGTGTACCCCACCATCCACGGTTGATGTATCTTCCTCTCAGTTTTGGGATTATTTCCTTTTCCAGTCTAGTCTCAGAATATGAGACCACTATATAACCCCATGTTCCCCATTCTGCTCCTTACCATGGGAGGGGGATTCATTCAGCCTTCAACTCCAACACTTGAAAAAACAAAGCCTGTCACGTTTGGCCAGGTTTTCTTATCTTTTGACGTTTTCCAGGATGTAGCTCATGCGACAGGCAGTACAGGGTCCCCTTGAAGGCAGCCCTGATGGTGAGTCGCTCGCTCTCCCTCACTGGCTAGCTGGCCTCAGCTGAAGCCAGCACTGTTACACAACAGGCCTGAGGGTGGACTCCCGGGTCCTGGGCATTATCGGACAGAACAGTCCCCACTGCCGTGTTTGGCCTCTGTTTCAACGACATAAGGAAATCTGGGACAGAATACTGTGCCATGCGGGCAGGTGGCAACTGTTGACTCTTTACTGAAGAGGCACAGCAGCAAGATGATGACACTGCAGAGGTAGGCAATGAACTTCCTGAAGCGTGTCTCAAATGCCAGAAATCTCTGCATGTCCTTTATGGCCCAGGGACTTACGACTTCTGTTATGCACCATCTGGGTGCACTGACTGTACAGAATGAGGTTTGAACATCTGACCCTGGAACTCCTGAATGTGTATCTTAGAAGACTGACGGGAGATGATGTTGCAAAAGATGACATCTGTATCACTGGTGGAATTATATCCCACTCACTAGTACAGATCTAGCGTTACTTCCTAATCACCTATTTTTTTCCACCTTCACTTCCTTATCTGAGGTATTTAAGATTCATTCATTCCTCAGCCTTAGTATTTATGGAATCCCTTCTACTCCTGTCCTCAGAGGTCTCCAGGAAAGCTCTGCCCATGATACTTTCTCCTAAGTGTCTGTCGTCCTTGAAGAAGACACGGGAGAAGTAAGATTGCAAACTATTCTTCAGAATATTCAGGATTGGAGATCAAACAGCTTAACGCAACATATCCCCTAATGAGTGAGGTCCATGTCTTCTGAAGGTTCTTTTCTGCTTCTTACTTTTTCACGTTCCCAAGGTGTCAGCTTGTTTCTAGTCTCCCCTTGACCTTTGATGTGGCCAAGGAAGAGTCCCTTCTTCCACATGCAGAACCAGGACTTAGGTAGTCACAAAATTATGAAATCTCAGGGTTGAAAAGATTTTAGAGGTTTTCTAGCTTCGTTACCTATAAGAATTGTTTCTGGAATATTTCCAGTATGTCATTTCACAGCCTTCACAAAAACAACTTCAGAGAAGGAAAATTACAGTTTGGGAGAAAAGACTTTGGATTCTGTGCTTCTGGGCCAGGAGGCTCACTGTGTAGTTGGGTTACATATGCTAATGGGCAGGAGGCGCTGAAGCCTTTCTTTCTGATTTCTTCCTCCCCTACCTTGTACTTCCTTTTCCCATGGAGAACAAAGATCCCCAAATACATAAAACAGACCTTAAGAACACCATTAGTCCCATGTCCTAGAGAAACGTCTAGAGGGAGGACTTTATGCAAAAGGGACTGTTCACCAAAGAGACTGGGGCAAATGCATGCTTGGATGGGCATTTGGATGCGAGATGCATGCCTTTCTTCTGTGGAATACTTCTTCCTCCTGGAACTTGCTCTGTGGACAACTCTGGAGGCCTCAATATACATGATCCTTGTCGTCCCCATGCCAGCCTCCCCAAGACACTTCCAATACAAGTCCAAACAGACAGGAGTCTGGGGCCCAGCTAATAGGCCAAAGGAGTCCCAGTGGCTCATACATAGTCCTGCCAGTTCATGAACTGGGTGATTAATGAGATTAATGAGGGTGAGAGGCCAAAGTCTTGGGTGTTAACAGAGTGACGTGTCTGGGATTGTCCTGGGCAGCCCACAACCCTTTGAAACAGTGGTTAGTGCTTCGGGAATTTCTTTCTTAGGAGCCCTAACTAATATCTGGTGGGTATTCTGGCCGTGCCCTAAATTTTGGAAGACAGGCTCATCTGGGAACTTCAAATTGCAAGAGCAGCTGCACATCTTGTGGGTGAAGTCCCACTTTGAGGAGAAGCCTTCTATATTAGAAGGAGGTCAGGATCCTTACCTCTAGAGGGCATCTGGCATGGGAAGGCATAGGGGTTAATTTCAGTGCCATGGTAGGTCCCCTGAGGAACGTCAAGCTACATGAACAGCTGCCCTCTTGCGGGCAACATCCCATGTGGCATCCCTTCTTGGGGCCAGGCAGGCTCACCCCAAAGAAAAGAAAGCTGTGGGGTGCTAACTTTTTTGCTTAGTGGTTTCTTCATTGGTGGGACAATTCAATTTCAAATATTTTGTTCTTTTATGACATTACAGATGAATATCTGGAAATATGGACACGGGAGCTTTGGCAGTTCCCTACATGTGCTGTGTTGATAACATCTCTCCATGTCCCCATAGAGATTAACAGGAAAACAAACTCATTCATAGGAAACGTCTGGGGGCTGGTGTATTAGCGCTAAAGGGAAGAACAGTATTCACTGGGCAGTCAGGACACAGGACAAACGGGAGAGGTGGTGGTACAGAAAGGGAAGCAGGCTGGGGCCCAGCCGTCCATAACAGGGAAGAAGAGAACACAGGAGGGGGTTTGGACCTGGGCCGAACAACAGGAAGGCTTGGACTATTCCTGGGACCTCATGGTAATAAGGTCTGGACAGGACTCTGGCCATAGGGTGACCTCACAAACTGCGTCTTCACTAGTTTTGCAATCTCTTGGCTGTATGGGCTTGGCCAGCGCTGACTAAGGGCATGAAGCTGGGCTCAGACCACCAAGGGCTGAAGTCCAGTTGGGACCTCTGATAGCCGTGCTCTCTGCCTGGGAGGGACGCGATGAGGGTTCAAAAGGTCCGCTTCCCTCCCATCCATCTGTCACACTCACACCCTCGGGAGCTCGCTCGCCTCCCAGCCAGGTGTTCCTTTGGACTCCCTTCTCCCACACCAGAGCCCATACCTGAGCAGTGAGGGAGGGAGCCAGTCCAGTGTCCGTCCAGCCCACACATTCGGGTGGCATTTCCCACTAGAGTCCGCTTGCTGGTGCAGCTGTAACGCACGACCGCCCCTGCGGTATAGTTGTCCCCGGACATCTGGGAATGGGGCGGGGAGCCCGGATGGCCACAGGACACCACTGTGGGGAAGGGCAAACATCTCAGCAACTCTGCACCAGGATGGATCATCATCACAGGACACGTGCTGGGCTTTTCATGGCGACAGGCGGAGAAGAAGAGAAGCTGGGGTATCTACTGAAGCAAACTTCCTGCTGGCACACCCACTCAGCTTCAGCAGACAATGCCTACCCACCTCGCTGTCCAGTTGCCGTGTCTGTGAACTGCAGAGCGATACCTGTTGTTTTAAGAGCTGAATGAGATAATACATGTGAAACTCCTCAGCACACAGTAGGGACACAGTAATATCCGTTTCTTCTCTTTCTTGCCTCTTGTGCTCACCTCTCCCTACTTCCTCACTGCCATAGGACATACCAAGAGGTCTCTGGCAGAAAGGTGGTACATATAGTATACCTATAACTACATATAAGTCAGACAGAGAAAGAAAAATGTCATATGATACCACTTATATGTGGAATCTTAAAAAATGGTACAAATGAACCTATTTACAAAACAGAAATTGAGTCACAGATGTAGAAAACAAACTTATGGTTACCAAGGGGGAAAGGAGGGGATAAACAGGGAGACTGGGACTGATATATACACACTACTCTATATTAAATCAATAACTAATAAGAACCTACTGTATAGCACAGGGAACTCTATTCGGTGCTCTGTAATGACCTACGTGGGATGGAGTCTAGAAGACAGTGGATATATGTATATGTATAACTGATTCACTTTGCTGTACACCTGAAACTAACACAACATTGTAAATCAACTATAATAAAAAATTAATTAAAAAAAGGACAAATGGGTGATCTGTCATCCTGAGACTGTCGGCATTGGCCACAGGATCCAGAATGAGGGCCAGTTAGAGTCCTCTCCAAAGGCATCTCACAGCTGCCCACATCAGTTGTCTCCAACTTGTCCTCTTCTGTTGCAAGTTCCCTTTCCTGAGACACCAAAGTGTAACTGTGGAAACCAGTGATGGGGTTAGAGTGCAGAATTGAGGTGTACGGGCCACGGCAAGACAGTGCTGTCGACGTCGCAGGGTTTGCCTTGCCGTTGTTCTTGCCACGGTTGATCATTTACTCAACACATATGTATTGAGTGCGAGGCACGGTTATATGTGTTTGGGAGAACAAGGTCCATGCTCTCGTGGAGGTTATGTTCTAGTGAGGATGAGAGACCATGAATAAGAAAACAGGTAATTCTAGGGGTTGCTATGAAGGAAAATAAAGCTGCATCAGGAAAAGGGTGGTCAAGGTGGGTGAGCAGCTGATTTTGAGTAGGATGGTGATGGTCAGGGAAGATCTCTCTGAGGCAACATTTGAGCAGTGATCTGAGTGACGTGAAAAGGCCAGCCATGTGAGATCTGGGGGAAGAGCATTCTGAGGGAAGGGACATCTAGTGGAAAAGCCCAGAGGCCGGAATGAGCCTGGGGTGTTCGTGAAACAGCAAGAAAGCCAGGGGTGCTGGAATAGAACGAACAAGGAAAGACCTGAAGGAGACATGGGTGGAGAGGTTACTGGGAGCCAGATTATGGCATAGAATTTGGACTTTATTACAAGCATGATAGGACCCCACTGGAGTGATATGATCTGATTTACATTTAACAAGATCATTCTGGCTACTGTGTGGAGAACATTCTAGGGCGGGGCAAGAAAAGAGGGGGCTGATGCAGTAGTTCAAGAAGAGATGATGGTGATTTGGACAGGCTAAACCTTGGGGTCTGGCATGCAACTGGGAAGGATATGTACTCTGGTGGCCAAAGGGCTGTCTGTCTGCGAAGACGGCCACCACAACTCATCCCGGCACAGGTCTACCACTCTTCCCACTCCCAGATGTAGAGTCTCTTATTTCCTCCCTCCTTGAACCTGGGTTGGCCTGGGACTTGCTTTGATCAACAGAATGTCGTTTTAGGAATTCTGAGCTCTGGCTTAAGAGATCCTTTAACTTCCTCTTTTTCTCTAGGAACCCAGCCTCCAAGTAAAGAAGACCCCGTGTCATCCTGCTGGAGAGAGTGGCCAGGTGGAGAACAGCCAGCCACGAGTCCTCAAACATGTAGGTGGGGTCATTTTGGATCCATTTTGGGTCCTCCAGTCCTAACTGAACCACGTTGGGTGCAGATGAGCCAGCCCTGCTGGGATGATTCATTTTATGTATCAACTTGACTAGGCCGCAGGATGCCCAGATATTTGGTCCAACATTATTCTGTGTGTATCTCTGAGGGTTTCTGAATGAGATTAACATTTGAATTGGTAGACTAGACTGAATAAAGCAGATTGCCCTCCCCAGTGTGGGTGGGCCTCATCCAATCACCTGAAGGCCCGAATAGAACAAAAAGGTGGGGTAAGAGAGGATTCTCTCTGCCTGTCTTTGAGCTGGGGCATCAATATTCTCCTGCCTTTGCACTCAGACTTGGACTGGAATTTATACCGTTGGCTCTACCTAGTTCTCAGGCCTTCAGACTCAGACTGGAACTATGCCATCCGCTCTCCTGTGTCTCCAGCTTGTGCACTACAGATCTGGGGCCTTTTCAGCCTCCAAAACTGTATGAGCCAATTCCTTATTATCTAGCTATATATCTATATTTGTATCTCTATCTATATCTGTAAGGAATTGGCTCACATAATTTTAATATATATTATATATTACATTTAGAAGCAGATATATAGATGGCTCATGGTTTCTATAGGTACAAATATATAGGTATAAATCATATATCTAAATTTATACAGATATAGATCTTATTACATATCTATATATACTATATATTCTATCTGTCTATAAAATATATGTAAAAAATATATATATATCCTATTGGTTTTTGATTCTGTTTCTCTGGAGAACCCAGATTAATATATCTGCTAAGCTTCACCTAAATTCCTGACCTTTAGAATTGTGAGAAAACAAAAATAGATGCTATTTTAAGTTTTGAGATGGCTTACTACACAGCAATAGGTAACTGATACAGCGAGTTCCAAGGATTACACTATCTATTCCTTAAGACAACCCTATGAGGTAGGCACTGTTTTTATCTCCACCTTCCTGATGAAGGAAATGAGGCATGGCGAGGCAGAGTAACTTCCACCAGGTCACAGGCCTGTTCAGCAGAATTAGTTCTTGAAACCTGGCAGAGGGCACACTCTCAAGCACTGTAACTGACTCCCTTCTGCAGTACTGCTTTAATACTGCTGATGAATTCTCTCCTTCTGGAAGGAATGGAGCCCCCAATTATAATTTAAATGATTCTATGACTGTTTACTAGAAATTTCTGGACTTCCAGAAATTGTCCAATTTTAACTCTGAAATGATTTTTCAAAACAATTCTTTTTTAATGGAAATGCAACATACATATAGAAAAACACAATAACCATAAAAACAGAGCTTAATGAATTGTCACAAAGTGACTACACTACCCAGATCAAGAAAAGCACATCACCAGTGCCTCAGAAGCCCCTTCACGCCCTCTCTCTATCACTATCTCTCTTCATCCCTCCTCAAATTAAACTACTATCTTGACTTCATACACCATTAATTAGTTTGCCTGTTCTTGAATTTTATTTAAATGGAAACATATAGTATATATTCTTTTGTGTTGGCTTCTTTCACTCAACATTATGTCTGTGACATTCGTCTATGCAGTATGTAACAGTAGGTCATTATAATTGCTGTATACCAGGGTCAGCAAACATTTTCTTTAATTACTGTCCAGACAGTAATTATTTTAGGTTTTGAGGCTACATACAGTCTGTGTTGCATATTCTTCTGTTTCTTTTTTTTTTTTGTACAATATTTTAAAAGTATTAAAAACAAAAGCTCTTCTAAGCTCAAGGGCCGTCCAGAAATAGGCCATAGGCTAGATTTAGCCCAGGAGCCAAAGTTTGCTGACTTCTGCTATATAGTTTACCATTTGTGTTAGTTATCTCTTCCTGTGTAACAAATTGCCCCAAAGCTTAGACAACAATAAATGCATTACTGATCATGGTTTCTGTGGGTCAGGAATTTGGGAGTGGCTTGGCAGGTGGTTCTGACTCAGAATCCCTCATAAGTTGCAGCCAGGATGTTGACTGTGGCTGCATTCATCTGAAGGCTTGACTGGCTTCCCCCAGAGTGACTGATCCAAGAAAGCCAGGTGGAGGTGGGATATCTCTTATAACCTAGCTTTGCAAGTCACATCACTTTACACAGACCAACCCTGGTACAATGTAGGAGTATGCTACATAAAGGTATGAATAGGTTGACTGTCACACCACTGTGGGAATATACCACCTTTATCATCCATTTCCTATTGATGGATGTTGGGGTTGTTTCTGGTTTTGGACTCATGAATAATGCTGATAAGAACATTTCTGTTCATGTCTATTAGTGTACATATGTACACATTTATGTTGGTTACCCATAATGATTTCTGTGACAGCAGCTGGTTGTCTTTTCTGATGTTCTTATTTGGCTTTAAAATGTTTCTTTGGGGAATTTGAGGGTAGTGTTCAATTATGGTAATATCTAATAATCTCTAAAAATGTATATGCAATGCTAGAAATTATTTTTTCATTACTGGCTTGATCTAGCTACTTGGGTGTCTGTAAAATTAGCAACTACAGTATACTCTATTGTTTTTTTCCCTTCCTGTGGTTTGTTCTTTTGAAGGAGGAAAAAGTAAACAATAATGATGCTTGTGACAAAAGAAAAATTAATGACAATATAATTTGCCTGCTATGGATACGGAGAAACAAGAAAAGGACATATGATAACAATAAAGAGAAACAACTTGCATTCATTGCATATTTGCATAAAAATCTAGAAGGCGAAGAACAAAGACAAGGTGAATAGCTGTTGCTGCATTTCTCAATTTGTTGATATAAAAGATTAATGTTTTTAATGTTCATGCCCATGTCCAAATGGGATCTCTTTGGATCATTCCAGTTTCTGCAGTGGCTCTCTAGCTGCTAACTATGTATTAAGCTTAAATGTGTACATAAAAATCAGCAAGATAGGTATTTAGCACTCCTAATAG